CGATTATGTCATAATTGCTTCAAACGAGGTCATTATACGCCGGTGTGCCCGAGCAAGGCGCGCTGCACGCACTGCCAACGACCGCATCACTCACTGCTCCACCGCGATTACACTGGTAGCAGTGATCCTCAAAACTCGAGCGCTCCAGCCTCCGCGGATTCGCAAACCGCGTCACTGATGACCGATTCCGCGACTGCGACCACCGCCGCGCTCGTACAATCCGTACATTCACAAGTGTACGCGCCGCGAAATATATTGCTCGCAACCGCGTGGGTAAACTTGCATACGAGCGAGGGACGAACCATTCGTGTCCGCGCGTTACTCGATCAGGGATCCACTTTCAGCTTTATCTCCGAGTCATTGTGTCAAGCGCTTCGGACCAGGCGTCAGCGCACCCATTTGCCGATACGGTGCTTCGGCGACAAGTTTACTGGGGCGGCGCACTCGCGCGTGCCCATTACGCTCTCCGCTTGCACCACGCCGGGCCCCACGTTTCCACTCATGGCATATGTATTCCAAAAAATTACCGCCTATGCCGCGTCTCAAATCAAGCCAGTCGATTTCTGGCCGCACCTGCGCGGATTGGTTCTCGCCGATCCCGACCCGTCCAGTCGACATACAATCCATCTTTTAATCGGCGCCGACCTGTATGGGTCACTCCTGCGGAACGATATTCGTCAGGGCCCTCTCGGGACGCCCACCGCGCAATTGACAGTATTTGGCTGGGTCCTCTCGGGCCCAGCGGGCACCTTGCCCTCTCCCTCTCCGTCCTCATCTGCGCAGGTGAACACCTGCGCCGCCACCGAGGATCTTCAATCTCTGCTCCAACAGTTCTGGAGTGATGAAAATGTCCCCTCGACAACGCCTTCGCTCACAGACGAGGAACAACTCTGCGAGCAACATTTTTCATCTTCGCACACGCGCACCTCGCAAGGTCGCTATGTGGTGCGACTTCCGTTCAAAACAGCGCCACCTCCCTCTATTGGAACGTCATACCTTATCGCGCTGAAACTATATAATAAACTCGAACAGAGGCTCTCGCGTAACGCCGAACTGTCGCAAGCTTACCATGCATTCCTTCAGGAATATCAGACCCTGGGGCATATGGAGCGCGTTCCGGAAACCGTTCCCTCGCCTCAGCTCGCCGCGTACATTCCTCATCACGCGGTCACTCGGGAAGAAAGTACCACTTCGAAACTACAGGTTGTATTCAACGCCTCGTGTCGAACCTCAAACGGCACGACTTTAAACGAGCATCTCTTAGCCGGACCTAAGTTACAACAAGACCTCCCCGCTATTATGCTACGATGGCGACAGTTTCGGTTTGTTTACACCGCGGACGTCGCCAAGATGTACCGACAGATTTTGGTGCATCCTGGCGACGTCGACTACCAGCGAATTCTTTGGAGCCCGCCGGGGGCCTGCGGTGTTCAACATTTCAGACTCCTAACGGTGACGTATGGAACGACCTGCGCTCCTTACCTCGCGCTGAGAGTTCTGCAACAGCTCGCCACCGACGATGGGCATTTATTCCCTAAAGCGGTCCCGATCGTCCGCGAATCTATCTATGTCGACGACGCTTTATTTGGCGCCGACGACAAGAAGCAATTCCTAGAGCTCCGTGAGCAGCTCGTGGCTTTGCTTCAACGCGGCCAGTTCACCTTACGAAAGTGGACAGCCAACTCCTGTGACCTGCTTAGTGACATTCCTCCCGACGCGCGGGCGATATCCGATCTCACGTTCTCTACGGACAACTCGTTAAAGGTCCTTGGGCTATCGTGGGTCCCCCTTGAAGACGCCTTTAAATTCAACGTTACGTGCCCCAGCGCGGCCGTGTCCACTAAGCGATCCGTTCTTTCCTGCATCGCTAAACTATTTGACCCGCTCGGTTGGGCTGCCCCGGTGGTAATCGCCGCCAAGGTCCTCATGCAAGAACTTTGGTTAGCGAACGTCCGCTGGGACGAGCCGCTCCCCGATGCGTTACGCAATCGTTGGATAAATTATTATTCGGATCTCCCAAACCTCAAGCGTGTTCGAATACCTCGATGGACTCGAGTCCACCACACCAACTTGAACCTTGAACTTCACGGATTCGCGGACGCGTCATCTCGCGCGTACGCCGCTGTTGTTTATCTACGCGTCGCTAACCCAGATGGTGCTTCTCACCTTAGCCTGCTCGCGTCAAAGACCAAAGTCGCCCCCCTGAACACAGTAAGCATACCCCGGCTCGAGCTTAACGCGGTTGTCCTACTCAGTCGGCTGCTCAGCTGGGTGCAGGATTCGCTTCACCTAACGCATGTCCCTGTCCACGGGTGGACCGATTCTTCAGTCACTCTCGCGTGGGTGACTCAGCATCCGTCTAAATGGCGAACCTACGTCGCCAATCGGGTGTCGGCAGTACAAACGCGTTGCCTATCCGCGCGGTGGGGCCATGTCCCCTCCGCCGATAATCCTGCGGATTGTGCCTCTCGGGGTCTGTCCGCTTCGGAGCTCGTCCACTTCGACCTCTGGTGGCGGGGCCCCGCCTGGTTGGCGCGATCATCGGAATTTTGGCCCCAACCACACGAGTTATCTCGAACTACGCTTAACGCCGCGCTTACGGAGATTAGGGGCACGGCGTCGCATCATGTCTCTTCGAATCCCGAGTGGGATCTCCCAGAACGTTTCTCATCGTGGACCACACTCACTCGCGTCACTGCTTATGTGAGGCGATTCGCGCGGCGCGCTCGGGGTGGCGTTGCCCCCGATCCCCGCGCGACCTTATCCGTGAGCGAGTTGCGCGACGCCGAAACTTTCTGGCTCGGCTTCGCGCAACGAGCATGCCTCGCGGCTGAATGGAAGGCGCTGCACGAGCAGCGCCCCCTCTCCCGATCGAGCTGTCTCCGCAAATTAAATCCTTTCGTGGGAAATGATAAACTAATTCGCCTTGGCGGGCGGCTTGAGAACGCTCCGCTTTCCTACGACGAACGTCATCCGATCATCCTTCCGGATCATCGAGTTGCCCGATTACTCATCGATCGGGCGCACAAAGCCACCCTCCACGGTGGCATCCAGCTTACGTTGCGCCTTCTGCGCCAGCGTTTCTGGATCTTATCTGCGCGCTCCCTTGTAAAAGGGCATATTCATCAATGTATCACGTGCACCCGTCATCGGGCGCAAATCAGCGAGCAACAAATGGGTAACCTTCCTGCCTCGCGTGTCACTCCCTCGGCCCCGTTCACGTCAACCGGGGTCGATTACGCCGGCCCGTTTAACCTCCTCGCGTCCGTTGCTCGAGGTCAACGGATCACCAAGCACTATGTGGCCGTCTTCATCTGTCTAGCCACCAAGGTTATCCTCCTGGAATGTCGATGACTACTCGACAGCTGGTTTCCTAGCTGCGTTCCGCCGTTTTGTAAGCCGGCGTGGGCTCCCGGCTCACGTGTACAGTGATAATGGTACTAATTTTCAGGGTGCCGACCGCGAGCTGTCGGCCACCCTGCGTGCGCTCACGCGAGATGTCTCCGTGCAAGAGTCGCTGGCATAATGTGGCACTTCATACCCCCCGCTGCTCCTCATTTCGGCGGGCTGTGGGAGGCTGGGGTGAAGAGCCTCAAATATCACTTAAAGCGGGCCGTCGGGACCCACTCGCTTTCTCGCGCAGAATTCGCAACATTACTTTGCCAAGTTGAGGCTTGCCTGAACTCACGCCCCATCTCCGCGTTGTCAGCCGACCCAACGACTTGGCTGCGCTGACGCCTGGTCACTTTTTGATAGGTCGTCCCCTCGTGTGCGCGCCGGAACCATCCGTCACCGACGAGAAAGTCAATCGGTTGTCGCGATGGCAACTTGTA